CGGTAGATTTGTTGACATATGACGGCCAAAACACCAATCATCTTGTGGGGTTTCCAATGGAGTGCGATTGATTGGATTCACTTGAAGTTGAAAAGGTATTGATCGCAATGCACTACCGGTGGTGCGACTTACGTAGGTCGAAACAGACAGATTTAAGAACTCAGTCTACGCTGGCTCAAACAGGTTGGGGGCGGAACTGTGTCAAGATCGGCAGTTGCTCATCTGGTCGAGACGGGACACTTGGTTGACATGCCCTCGGCATTTACAATTATCCATGAAGTCTCATCACACCCCTCGAGAGTAATACGGTTTCGGACGTTAGCAACCACAGGGGCGATTAGCATTCCACTCGTGGAGTCTGAGCTGTGCGCACAACTAAAAACGGACCCAAGTTCTCAAACTCCCCTGGCCAATAGAAGAGCAAATCACTTGTCCATATGAACATGACGTAACATAGCGACTGTTGGTTACCTAATCCAAACAGCATACAAACTTGGAGTTCTCTCAGTCTCACGACTAAACACATGGCTCATTCGTCTTTTTGACCCCTCTGAAACTATTTGATATAAATGTGATTGCAAAAGGCTTGAAACGGAATTCATCGGAAACACATTTTCATCTATATTGTGTGTTACTAAACGTTTGTTTGTTTGACCACAACATATCGGGTGGATACAAGTGGTGTGTGGTGGACGGAGACCCGAACCATGGAGGCAGGTAGGAGAAGACGACGATTTCGAGGTTTGCATTCATCACAAATCTATCTTTTCTATTTGACGTTTGATTCGCAATTTGAAAAAAAGAAAAACGCACAGAAAAAAAGCGATTTCTTCTAGCTACCGATCACGTAAATTCTGTTTGATTCAACTCATCCCTGTGTCCACAGCGCCGGCTTCACGTAGTCGCATGGCTGCTGCCGCAGCAGCTGCAGTACAGGTCAGTTTCTTTTCTATGCGGGATCAGTTGAGATGATGATGATGATGATGATGATGACGATGACATTGATGCTCATATTTTGTTCCTCATTCTTTGTCGGTCTCGTTTGACAATAAGTTCAAATTTTTACGGATGTTTTATTCCCTTTTTACGATTCCTTCCAATCAGCGTTCAGTTAAGTCAAGTCAATTCAAGTCAAATTCAAGTCATTAGTAACTTTACGCACACGGATGAAGGAATTTTCAGCATTTACACCATATTGTTGGATTCAGACTTATTGGTCTGATAGAACACCCACATCTATTCTGCTAAATGTTTGTCTCTGACATTGCTCACTAACTAGCGACATACCATTCTTGTGATCCGCAGTGTACAAACTCTCTTAGATGTTCGTTCCAGTAAACAAATCACTCTCGTTCAGTGTTACCCAGGGACTGTATTTTCGTTTTTAAAGCCGTATGAACGGTGAAAATGTAGTTTTTGGGGATAATTCTAGTTACTAGAACTTTTTCTTATTTGCACGCTTAGTTGCACTGATTACTTGCGTGCGTCTGTGTCTGTGAACGACCGTTGTGATATCACATTTCATATTCAGCTCATAGTTACTTGTGAGTAGTATTGGTGTGCTTCCGACTTCGCCTTCGTGCAATTCATCCGGTCAACTGGACATTCGGGAAGCATTAGACGTGAGTTTCACTCTGCTCAGAGCGTATCATTAGTGCGTATCGATCATCCCGTCCGACTTTGAATGCCGGTAAGATCGCTGATCACAATCGCCGATACATGTTTATTAAGGTAACGTGCCCGAAAATAGGCAATTACTTCATTTTAGCTCGAACACAATGACCCAAATGAATATCTCTGAACACCAAATAAAATTGGTGTAGTGAATGACTTCTTGCTTGCGGTGCTCCTGGCATATTGGTTTCTATGATGCAAACCAGTCGTATAAACGGAATTGTGTCAATTAACCTTGTTTTCGTTGAATTTCCCCATCTCTTAAGATTGGGGAGATAAAATCAGCTTAGTGTCGTTTGAGTTACTCTGACAATTTTTAGTTTTGTAGTGATGAGCTCAGAAAACTGGCCCAGCGGAACGGAAATTCGGATGCCAATATTTAATTTTGTATTAGAAAACCAAAATCGAATTCGTTACTTCTCAAACTCCTGAATTGTATCAATCGTCCTCGCCAATCGGTTGGGGACTGGTCTTTCTTTTAAAACCAATAAGAAAGAATTTGGGTCAGTGATATGTATTCATCACCTCATACTGATCGTTAATGATAGAACAGGTTTCTGTTGCAAATTCTCCCACAAACAGCTTTTGGGCACCGACAATAGACAGACAGTAACCGATCGAAGTACCGAAATATCACACTTTTTGTACGTCTGGAAGTTGATGAACAACGGTGATGCAATATGCCACATTGTTAACTTTTCACGGAACCCTTTATGAATAATGTTTTGATCAGGTTAATCTGTTTTTGAAGGAAAATGAATTATTTTAATAACTTTCTACTTTTTCACTGCCAATAAAATAAGATGTCAAATTAGACTGAGTGGATTCAAACGGGTGAATTTTTAGTACTGTCGACTAGTTACAGTGAATAAAACGTGTACATTAAACGGTAACTGAAATGAAAACCAAATGGATATGTTCAAATCCTAATGTGACAGATGATTTTCCAAGTTAGTCATGATAGTTGCTCGATTTACTATGATACGAGTCAAATAAGTGATGATGATGATGCTGTCTCGGTTAAGTGGTGGTACGTGCACAAAGAATTTGTAATGCGTACTCGGATGAGACATCGATTTATTGAGAGATGGGCATCCGGACAGTGTTTTTCGTTTGACATTATTTGGCTGGTGAATCTGTCGTACGCATCAGAATATTTTCACAAAATGAAATCAACCAAAATGCTCGTGGGAATACCATGGAAACGCGAACAGTTGCGCACCTGCCGATATTGAACATCAGAGATCGGGGTGCATGTTAGCTGAAAATTTCTCGGAAACTGTCCCGGATCAGTTATGGGACAATCAACTAAAACCGTATCAGCAAGCATATTTGCACACGATATAGTTGAGAGGGATAGAAAGTTTGTTTCTGTGGAGCGGAAGAACAAATGGAGATAAACTAGAGTCCAGCCAAGAACGGCACACTTGACCTCCAGCAGGGAGGAAGATTTACAGTTACAAACCGTCAAATATGTGTTTTGTGAGAAGTGATTGATCAGGTACATTGAACACGACCAATCAGAAGGTTGCAGTCCAAGAGTATCATCAGTAATAATCATGGAGAATGAAACAAATGGTACCAGACCCCTGAAAAAATCAGAATGGGACGGATTAAATCACGTGATTAACTCCATGAAGAGTAGAAAAAGTAGAAGACCATTCGGTCTGAAAACACTGTTTTGAACAATTTCAGTAGTGCTGATGTTGAGGCAACCGGTTACTACTTCGAAGACACCTTCTTGGGGATGGGTAATATTCGGCTAGCTAGCTCTCCGGCAGTCAGGGATAATTCCAGATGACATGAAGCAAGCTGTTCATTATACACTCGCCATAAGACGGAGGATTGAGAATCAGAGCCACGTGCCCTATTCGACTGAAGAGACTTTAGCATTTTCGAAAGTTCCACCGGGGTGACAGAATGATTCTCTCCAGTAAATGTAAATAACGGTTGTACGGAGTTTGATCCAGAAAGGAGTGAACCGAGTGAACCACAAAGCAAAGCTTCAGAGCAAACTTCATATCAAGACACATTTTGTTTCTCGTAGGAGTTCCATTATATATTCGATTTAAATGATAGGGGTTTCACTCCCAATGTGTCTATCAGTCATGTAGGCGTTTCGTCTATCTCAACGAACCCTTTTTAGAAGAGGCGATGAGAATCGAATGTGTAAGGTTTTCATGAGGCAACAAGGTTATAGAAAAAAATAAGATAACAGGTAAGATGCTCACCAGCGGAAGAGTTATTAGTATTGATTAAAAAAAACAGACAAATCGGTATACGAAACTATGCTTTAAGTTTAATTAAACTATCCGGGGAAGCGATTTTTCTGTCTGATAATTCTGGAAGCAAAAGAAGTCATTTGTTAATGAAAGGATTTATCATTTAACTTCTCAGATCTGACAAGATAGAGCAATGGTCAGAGTTACCTTACGGGGACCAGAGTTTTCTTTCCATGAAAAAAGTTTTCTGCACACCGACCACCAATACTGAGTCTTATGGGAAGATTTACAAAAATTTATTCTGCCTAAACTTGTTCATAAAGAGATATCACAACGGTTGAAATCGCAAGCAGCGACACACAGAGAGACGGGTCTAAACCCGGTGCAAACGGTGTGGAGAAAGAGTCAATAAACAAACAATTGTCAGAAGCAGACATGCTGGGAGCAATGTTTAGATAGTATGGTATGATCAAATCGATTGAGCGATCGGGGCTTACAAACAACAGTCCATGTCATCTGCTGGCTTCCACGTGGCTTTCTCCAGCCTGTAACAGCCACTGAAAACAAGGCGCGTTGTGTTTTCATATGCTATTTTCTGTTAACGCAAGTAACCACTTCACCACCTTTGGGATTAAAAGTTCACATTTTTATCGCCTCAAAAGCAAATGGTCAAATGATCATAAACTAACGATTATGCACAATAAACTGCAAACATTTCAAAGACCTGACACTAGAATAAAGTATTCAACCTTGAAAATGCAACGATTCGATTCAAATGTGACGACCGGTCGTTTGTCCACTGTAGTTTTACAAAATAAGATTCGTTGGTCACAAGGCGCGGTCAAATTCAAAAGCCGCATCAATAACGCATCCGATAACGAGACCTCTGTATAGGTGTTTCCCATTCCGACAGATGTGATGGTGGGTTACTCGTAGGGTCCCGAGTTCAAACCACACCACCGCTGCCCATATTGTCTCTTGTAAGTGGTTCCCAAAAAGATTGAAAAAGGAACAGACTCTATAGCTGAAAAAGAATATAAAACACCTATTTATCTAGTGATTCTAATAAACAACTTTTTTTACTTTTTGAAGAGAGAAAAATCAATGAAAAGGCAACAATCTATGCCACCCACCACGCGGAACAACGTGGACCCGGAACTACCGGAGTTGGTGGAAGAAGCGGAAGTGATCCCGGAAGTGGTAACCAAAACGGCAGCTGCTCCCATCACGGAACGAGTCACATGGCACAATAGTTCACGAACGGAACCGGATGGGATGAATCGGAAATCTATTCCAGGGCAAAAGATGGGTGTGCATTTTGAGAAATCGTCCACATTGCCGCTGAAAAACTCGAACGATGGCAACGAGGAAAAACGGAAATCACGCCTATCCCGACAGGTCACATTGCAAGATTCACCGGAAGTTTTCAGTGAATCGGAGGATCTGGGGCAAGTGAACGGGGGACATAAATTGCGCAAACACCGATTGAAGAGGCATTCGATCAGTTTGAGCCGCGTACGTTTCAGTCCACCAAAACTCATTCGCTCTGACGGACTTGCAACGTTATTTTTGACTACTCATGAGTAGTGCGTTTCGAAAATAGCTGTCTTCACAGATGAGAACTCAAGTCGCGCAAACACCACACTATACAGGGAACGAAAAAAGTGGCACCATTTGAAGACTGCTACTTTTGGAAAACCAAATGTAACAAGTGGTATAGCATCCATTAATAGAATTGGGTGAACCTGAACTCTCTTGAAATTTTCAAAACTCTCCGAAGGAAGAAATTCCGACAAATATGCACTCCAAATTGAGATGGATGGTATCTTCGAACCAACTGAGTGAGATGAGATGTAGGAAATTATCAGTTGATTTAACTTTTATATTTGCCATCCGGCTGCATATCTTTAAAGTAAATCAGTTCAGATAAACTTGAAGTTGCAGTTTCATATTCACCGGGTGTTTGTTTAGAAGCCAGAACGTTTTTACAACCAAACAGTCGACCTCCAACTATCAATTTCATTCACAATCCATCATAACAAATCAGTCACGTTCAGCGACAACTTGAGACACATCAGCTAATTGAATTTGCACTCCCCGATTCGAGGCACTTCTGACAACATTCGACTGGATCTATTACATCACGTCTAACAAGATTCCATCCTCTCTCTTCTTTAGAACATACTCACTAAAACGCCAGCATGTAGTAAATCAGTCACGAGCAAGGAAATTCTGCAGTGAGAATGATGCAAACACAGCGAACATGTGCACTTGAATCATGAGTGGATTTTGTACTTAAAATAGGGGGAAAAACATGAAATGTATGCCGGAGACATCAACACCAGAAATGATTAATTCCATTCCGAAATGATAAATTGCTATTGAAACGTGTCTCATTCCAACCGCGTTGGGTACCAGTAATTTTCACACGACCCAATCAAAGGTGTTTTCTGAGCATTTGACTTGCCGGACCAATTCTGATTTATCAATCCTATTTTCAAAGGTCAATCGAATATCCACAAGTGATTCTCCCCCAGGAATATCACACGTTTACTGTCTCGGTGTCCACTCATTGATACAGTAACATAGCACATGTACTGTAACTGTACTGATTATAGTAAACCGCTCAGTCTCCATTTGGAACCGTCAGTCTCATCGACTACCCCTGGTTACACGGAACACCACACATTCTGCCTCACACACCGGTTAACACAAATGATGAGGAATTCACGGCCCTATAGACCCGAAAAATCGATTAAGAGTATGATCGGTGTTTAGATTAATGGCTTGCCGTTTCCTCTCTCTACAGTTTTCTATTCTACGAATGGACTGTATATGTACACTTGATTCAGTGTGTGTATGTGTTTCTTTGAGAGTAAACAGAAGAGAGAAAAGTTATGCATTTATCAGATTGCCGGCAGAAAACTCAAAAGTTATTTTTCCGCGTAAAACTGAATAGTGCAATGTTGTTTCATCAGTGTTTACTATATCCTTGTCACTACAGGCGTGTCTCAACTAGCTGGTTGGCCTTGACTATTAGTGTTATTTGTGTGTTCTTCGAGCTGGAAGTGTTGTTTTCAGAAGTTTCGCCGGCCAGGTTGGGCAACATCATCCAAGGCAACTTATCTAGATTGTCATCCACCTCTGGCTTGCGTGCTCTACTTCCATCATCAGAAATCTGAGTAACTTATTCTCACTTATTGGTTGCTAGAGGCCCTAGAAACCTCTCGTTTAAAAGGTATAGCACCCTCTAAGTTTTCTAAAATGGATCTGGCGCCTAAATGAGCATGGGAGCCCATAGCTTATCTGCGAATCTCATCATCTGTAATCAGTATCATCATTTATGTCACCCATATATTTGTTTCATTGCGAGATGATTCGCAGTCTTGATGAATTATTCATCAGCCTGTCCTTCTAGTTATTCTGCATTCATCGAAACGTTTATTTTTTCTTACTGTATTTCTCCAAACGTCGAATGACCGGCGCAAAGAGTTGTGTGAATTTCGGTCAGCATCTGATTGACAGTTAATTTCCAAATTCTAATTACTGAACGACAAAACCAAATATTAAGCAACACCAATAAAGCAACTCAACTACACACATCCCATATCGATAATTCGCATCTGAGTCAACAGTTTGCAGCCAACGAGTAAGTCTTCCAAAATCACCCAATCCAATGAATCCAAGGGTGATTAATTAGGTGGGACTATTACACAATCAGTGTTCATCGTAAACTAGCGGTATCCGTTAACTGCCTGTGAGGGACATTTTGCTAACTGCCACTTTTTAGCAGTACTCCTTGTCTTCCATAAGACTAGTGTTGGCTTAAGAGGGGTCGGTTACCACGAACCACATCTAAGTTATGGATAAATTGTTGTACATAATATAACATGATGTCTCTTTTTGAACAGATCATCACAATTTCCGACAGCACACTGGATAATGAATGAAAAAGTCCGTAGTAATCGGCTTGAAAAACAGTAATTCGCTCTAGGAGTTCTTATTCATTTTTGACAGTTATGGGAATCCGCCGCGATTCAACCATACTATTCACAAATATGAGCAGGACCTCACATTTGAAAGCGTAATTGTCAAAACATGTATGTTTTTGGTTTGGAATTTTGTAAAGTTTTAATAACTGCTCTATTCTGAGGTTATGATATTTTACGAACTTGAGTGTTTTTACAAATGCCTCACAGAACTTCTGAAATGAAAACTGTGAGGAGAAAATAACCCTGATCACTGTGTTTCTGAATCCGACACAACCTTATTTCATGTAAATGTATGCCTAGTAAACAAACATGTTTTATTTATGGCCAACCCAACGTCATATATATGAAAATCAGGTCCCGTTGATTCCCAATATTACTTGATACTGACTGCACAGCCAACAGCACAAAGCAGCCGTTGATAGTACTATTATCCAAGTCATCAATTATTGATCAACAAAGCTGTGTAACATTGTTAATGTCATTTTTGTTCTCCATTTGGTTTTATGCCCATGTCTTTTTATAGCATCGTTCGAAAGACCGCAAGTCAAAAGTAAATCACCTGTCATTTATACTATGTACTATCCTGTTACTGCCACCAGCACATCTTCAAATTTGCTTAAATATTTAACTACTCATGAGTAACATGAATAGAAATAGGAGTAATAACAGTTGTGGTTAGTATGGCTTGAGTAGCGTTCCTTTTGTGAAAAATGGTGCTGCCTGATATGTATGTTTTAATTTACCGTATTTCCTTAAGTAGATATTTTTCTATTTTAACACTAATAAGAACTAACTAATTCTAACAAAATTGTTGATTGTTTTATAATTCATTTTCGGGAAGTTTATGACGCAGGTTTTGTCACGTGCCTGGACACATATTATGCAATAATTATATATAACACTTGATATCGGGGAGCTTAACTTTGACTGACAACAAAAAATGTTCCATTTTTCATGTTACTATTCTATCCCGCGATTCGGGTGTATGACCTTGGGTGTGAGCTAAATCACTTCATATTGGCGAACACGAACGTCCGCGTACGTGTGTATGTTGGCGAAAACCTGACGTATCTATCGCTCCTTCCTTCCATATCTATTTGGTCCAACACGACAGATAAACAGTTACGATTCGACAAACGAGGTTGAAGCCTCTTATCAGAAACACGCGGAAATCTCGGGTGATTTGGAGGTATCACTGGACTATGATTCGGCCAATTCACGTCTGGCAGTTATGGTCTGGGGTGCAAGAAATATCGCGGCTGTGGACAAGAAAGCAGGGACAAGTCATCCGTAAGTTGACACGCGATACACTTGATCCAGTACCGTGATACCTAGTCTTCACCAAGCTTTTCTGATAGGCAGTAGTTCGTTCGAACCATCTGAGTCACACTTACTACTGTGTTGAGGGACTAAGAATTTAAATACTATATGGCACAACTAGATTTTTGCAAACTATTATTATTTCTCTCTGTTTTAAATTGACGTTGTTGTAGTTGAGCTGTGAGATATGTGGAGTGTAATGTTAAGTAATCAGCTCAAAGATGAGCATGATGAAAGATAATAATATTTGAGATAGAACTGAGTGTTCTGTTCATTGGTTTCTTGTTCAAATCATTCCCCTTTATCCTTGCGTAAATCCATTCCTCATTCTACCATTGAACCTGTAGTTCTGCAACAGTATTCTTGAACAGTATGTATATATTACTCCAATATAACCGGTGCTTCATCTGTATGCTAATGATCAAACAGATGAGAATAATTTTAGATTAGCTCATTCGATTGCTCAGAGGTACCAGACACTCTTGATGGTCTTGATGGTGTGTGGTTCAACTTCAAGAAAGGGCCTTCCATCGATCAAAAGTGGCCCAAGGACATGAAAAGTAAAGTGAAGAAATTGCGCTACGGTAGCAAGATTCGAACCCACAACCTCCGAGATGTTTCGAGATAATGGTACTAATCATGTAAACAGCGCCGCCCCGGTTTCGTTCATCCGATTTATTCACATAAAAAGATAAAAGTTGAATCGTTGCTATGGCTGCACATCAATTTTCGGGGCCCGGTGATACAAATGTAATCATAGTAAACTTTGACGTGTTTAATATTATCACAAACAGGCCTATCGTGCAATCCACATTCAACTATAATACTGCGGCCAATCGAAGGGAAGCAAACAAGTGATCGGGGGTTCGAACATGCGGAATACGGGGTAGGGGACAGTCTGTTAAGGCAGATCACTTTCACTTCGGTNCTTCGGTCGCCAATCTAATCAACATCAGACACTTGGGAGTATGAATAAACTAAACTGTTAGGGAATCAATGAACCGATTTCGCATTTGTTACTGTAATATCAGATTTATCAGTGGCTAAACGTTCCAATGTTTCTTTTCCATTATTTTACCAAATTACGCCGAATATGACATGTTTGGTTCGGATACTGAAAAAGCGATTTGGAGGCCACAAAACGTAATTGTGTGATTTGTACAGATAATCCGAATAACTTTCTTTCGCGGTGCTTAAGCCAAGATTGATCAAAGGGATTGTTTTTCTTCAATTGCCATCTCTGTGTAATTAAGCGTCTGAGTACTGTACTATGATCACCTTTGGAGTAGGATGATGAGTGGTAGGCACATGAGTCATGGGTCATGGGCGGTGGTGGCCCGGGATGTGTGTGTGTTCGAATCCCACTACCACCACCGCCTGACTCCCCTCCTCGGTATGTTGAATGGTAGCCCTTTTTTATTGGCCGCTTCCCCCTTCCTGAAAAAATTGTATCTTAGTATATTCAATAAAAGAAAGTAAAATGAAAAGAAAATCATAAACAAATAAATACAGCGTACACATTCAAGCGTAACACTGACCAAATGTTCCTGTGCGGAAGTCTAACAACCTCAATTAGATAATGCTTTTATTATGCACGAGATATGTGCAGATATGTACATCGTGTATGGAAGCCAACGAGTGGAGACAATTTTTGTGTCGCATCCTTGATAACCGGACTTTGTAGCGATTATTTTGTAATTATGAAATATTCAAACGTGACATTCAGTTGTAAATCTGTTCATAAAAATACCGGGTCTTTAGAGTAAACCAGTCAGCTAATCACAAAACAGTCAGAATTGACCAGTTATTAAGTGAGGATCTCGTGACTGGTTTGATCCAGAAAATTCGGTTTGCTCGTTTAGGAGCAATGCGCATGTGAGGTATCTTGGACACCAAAAATGTGCACTGATCACTGCAATATGGTTGTGCTCTCTCTCACACACTTTTCATGTTTGCGGTAGGGAAGACGAGGCTTCTATGGTCGTATGTGTAAGATTGAAATTCACAGGAAAATCCTACCAAACACCTCTCGGGAGATTGTAAGTGAGGTGACACAACATTTTCATCCTCCTCGAACTGAAAGCGACTTTTGACTCAGTCGACCGCCCTAAACATTGGCATTGTCTTCCCTGAAAGGTGTGTCCGAGAAGTTTATTTCAATATTAAGATCTCTCCTTACTCATGCCGAAGTCGAGTCCGAGCTTACGGTACGTTTTCACCCGAGTTCACCATGGAAAGTGATGTTGCCCTCTCTCTCCGTTTCTATTTATCATCGTGATGAATTTACTTCTAGAAATAGCCTTATCCTCGTGCGAGGATAGCGGTATCGATTTGCTCCCAGTTGGCAAACTGTCTCATCTAGAGTATGCAGACGAAATTGTGCTACTAAGTGAAGATCCAGGTAAGTTGCGAGCTTTTCTGGATAGTTTGAGTGCTCGTGTAGTGTGTTCGGTATACGTTTTGCACCTTCAAAGTGTAAAATTTTGCAACAAGATTGGCTTGGCCCAGCCCCCAACCTCACCCTGACTGGGAAGTAGTGGACGTTGTAGACAAGCTTTGCAATCTGGGCTGCTATATCTCACCTGGCGGATGCATCACAGATGAAGTGTCGGCGCGCAAAAGGCTTGGTTGGCATTTTCCAACTTGGTGCCGTCGTGACATCCGATTGTCTGTGAAGGGTATATGCTGCAGCAGTTCGGCCAGTGCTGCTTTACGGTGCAGAGACTTGGCCACTACGGGAATAGGATACGAATAGATTATCGGTGTTCGAACACCGATGTCTACGTAGCATTGCACGAGTCTGGTGGGGTAACCGGACGAGCAATACTGAGATTAGATACAGAGTATTAGGTAATCGCGGTCGTCCAATAGAACAAGTAGGTTGGGTGTCATGTGTTACGCATATCGCCAGACAGGTTTCCACAGCGAGCTATGTTCGCCGAGGCACCCAGCGGTTAAAAAATGATCAAGAGCAGTCAAACGAGGACCTGGTATGAGGATGTGAAAACCCTAACCAGAGTACTGGCTTACATAGGTCCCGGTAGGCTCCCTGGCTCGGAACCGCGAGATGATTGTCACCAATGGTTAGAGACACTGAGTGATATGGCTGGGTTTCGCAAATAGTGGTACTCATGCATCTACTCATTATTCTCCTAACACCACTCCAAATGAATTCTTCATCTTCCGCTTGAATTTTCCTTCAACATTCTAATATCCATAAGATAGCAGATAAAACCGGTGCACGAAAGTGCCTGGTTAATGGTTGTAAGAACGGAACGGAATATGAGGTGGAGCATAACTAGTTATCCCGGAACAAATCAATCAATTACGCGTCCTATTCCTTTTAGTCACGTGATTTCTCTTCATCAATTCATGAATTGATGATCTGCATTGTACGGGAAAATTCTGTTATTGAGGTTTATTTCTCCTCTTCAGATACGCGAAAGTTTATCTCTATCCGGATCCGGCAAACAAAACGGAACGAAAGATACACTGTAAAGGACACACGTGTTCTCCTTCATTCAACCAAGGTGTATGCTATTCGGTCTCCCCGTCCGAGTTGTTTGAAAAAACACTGGTTGTCGAGTTGTGGCACAGACGCAAAGGGCGTGGTTCAAAAACATTTCTGGGCGAGATCACTGTTCCCCTACGAAATCACAAATGGGACAATACGGAACGGACAAGGTTGGCATTGGAACAGAAGGTAAGCTGTCAGATTCACCCCCCCCCNCGCTACTCCAGCCCCGATAAACAGATCACTGGTAAGCAGATTATGGACATAGCAAATTGAAAGAAGAAAAGGAGATTTTCCACAAAGAATGTAAGTGTATTTAAATGTGACAAAGAGCGCACGGGACAGCTGTTTCCTTTCCTGTTTGGGACTCGTCAGTAGTGCGCGCAATTTTTGTGTCCCTGTCAGGACTCGAACCGCGATTATTTGGCTCGGGACTTCAAACCTTTACCGCCGATCATGAAGCTCAGGGATCACGTATCCCACAGATAGTAAACGAATTTCAAAGCTCGGTGAACAGGTGAAATGAAATACTTGAATTTCTCCTAGTACTTGTTGAACAGAAACGCTGGACATCTCGCATGCTAGGTGAGCGTGGCACATACGTGTAAGGGTACGCACAATCACAGAACTAAGCTTGTGATGTTGCATTCAGAGACAGTTAGTCAGTAAAGTTGCCCGGTATCTGATTTTATGACAACTGTATAACTGTATCTTATAGTGTAATGGGTTTGTCTACCCGTTCTGCTCCCTCGAATTCAAACAACCATTTCATTTGAACAATAAACTTTGCCTAAGTGTTTCAATCAACAGATTCAAGTGAATTTTGAGGGAAGAAAACCTGTGGTGGCAGTCAGCAGTTAGATGCTACCTGGTGAATGCCATATGGCTCTGTCAGTTGGATGCGAGAATTCAACTTTCCCCTTGATGATTCTCAGACATTATATCTCCTCGTAGGTGGTCCCACTTGAAAAAAACGTTTGTGAGTAGCGCACACGCCTCGGCGGTATTCTCGATACTAGGTTCCCTCATAAATTTCAGTTATCATATTTTGCACATGAAGACTTGACCCATCCACCCCGCCTGCCAAATGCATTTCATTTAGTTGCTCTGCCACCTCACACACCAAATGAGTAGAAAGTAGTGTTCACAAAATCATACTACGGGCTCATTAAGATAAAAAAACCATCTCGGTCTCACACTCTTGGACGCGCTTGGATAACCGGCCCTGGAAGTAGCCAAATGCAATCAGGTCATTAGAGCAGTTTCGCCAACTGACATTTATCTGCCTGTCACTTATCCATTTTGACAGGCGTTGTTTACAAATCTGATGATCGTTAATCAGCACACGGTCAACGGACAGTTGACATTGTATCAGTCTGACTGCTTTTATGGTGACCAGTGCATGTCATGTTGATTGAGTTTTGTTTTGAAAACATCACTCAGATGAACGAATTCGGTGTTGAACGGAAACCTCCACGTCAGCTTCCACCGCACACACACAAAAAAACGTGAACCTCATCCAAAAAAAGACATTTTGATTTCCCATGAAAACATCTCATTTCGGATACCAGTGATGAACTGATTAATCTTGACAAATTGAGAATCTCTATTATGCGTTGATGGTTTCAACAGGTCAACTTATGGATGAAACTGAACGAGCTGTAAGACGAGACGCTGGAAGGCGAACAAGGGGTAGTTTAACCCCTTCTGTTTTTATCATAACTTATCAACAACGCTTGATTGAAGAAAAAATCACCACTGGAAAATAATTTCTTTTCAAATTAGCCATGACAATTTAGAATATCAATCATGGATTAGCCAATTCGATTGTTCAGAGGCACCAGGCACTCTTGATGGTCTTCGGTGTGGGTTTTATTCCTTGGGAAATCGTTAATTCCCCACGAGATAATGCACTCAAATGCGATAGAAATGTTTGTGCTTGTGTGCCTGTGTGCTTGTGAAGACCTTCAAGAGTGCTTGGTGCCTGTGAACAAGCGAATGGGCTAATCCAAGCTTCATACTCTAACATTGATTGAGTCATTCGCACAAGGTGATAACCGTCGACCGCGTGTAGCTCAGGGGTAAGGGTTTGAAGTCCCGATCGGACCGATCGCAGTTTAAGTCCTGACAGGGACACAAAAATTGAATGCACTGCTGACGAGTCTCAAACAGGGCGAAACAGCTGTTCAAGGCTCTTTGATGGTTATCGCAAACATGCGCGCAACGAATTAAGTAATCCGAATGCATCGATAGATAGTCAGTCATTATTTGTATGTCGATTGTAAAATGTTCAGTAGCCTCGGTGAGATTCAAACCCACGCATGGACGCCGCCTACACTTCGTACGCGCATGCTCTACCAGCTGAGCTACGAGGCCACCGATAGTACTGATCTTGGATGTCACATGTCTTTGTAAGTTGGATGGGTAAATCCGAATGTGAAAAGATCAGTGCTATCGGTGTGGCCTCGTAGCTCAGCTGGTAGAGCATGCGCGTACGAAGTGTAGGCGGCGTCCATGTATAGGTTCGGATCCCACCGAGGCCACTGAACGTTTCACAATCGATATACAAACTTGAAATCTGCCAAACAACAATTTGAACAGTCATTATCTGACTATTTCCCGTTTGCGTTGATTCGCCAGCAGTCCTCTGAAACGGGAGATAACGAGTAAGCTATCAAGTAACCGGAGGATAAGAACTCAGCAGGGAAAGGTTTAATCAGACATGGTTATTCGAATCCGTCTGGAAGAATTGACTTTGTATGAGCTTCGATTGAAGTGGATCGATTTTTCACACTGTCCATCCCCCTCCCCCNCCCCCCCCCCATTTCGCTAGCATCCAACTAAGGAATGTGATCACGTGAAATTGCACACAACAACTTGGATCGAAAATTCTGATCGGCCCTAGTTTCGGCTAATCAGTACGGTATGAACCCCAAATAACTTCTACGTTAGGGTTCAGAGTTCAAATCCCGGACAGGTCAACAATGACTATTCATGACCGTAGTTTAGCGCTTGTGACTAATGCTTCTTGAGCGTGTGTTTCATTTGATTAAATTATTATTTGACGTCAAGATGAAATTTGGAAGAAGATAGACGCTCTAATTCAATCATGGTGAGTTGGTCGAATGATGTACGCCTGGCTTTGAATAGGAGGACCATTTGAATATGGGTGTGGTTTGTAGCTCAGGTTGATGGTTTGTGGGGTCTTGTGTTCGCTGAGCTTGGCGTTTAGATCGCAAACGTTTCATCACCTCGGCTGGTGATGAAACGTTTGCGATCTAAACGCTAAGCTCAGCGAACACAAGATCCCACAGGATGAGCGTTTCGTTGATGCAACCAATCACATGGTTGAGAAAACAGCCACGGTTCTTGATCTCGTCCATCATCATCTGTCTGAGAAAATGCGCTGCCACTGGTGCGTCCGTGATGGTGAATCTTCGCTCGATTTACCTCCCCCCCCCGCGGTTTGTGACGTCATTATTGTTCGGATAATTTTTACCTTCCAACTGTGATGTGATAACGCAACAGCCGAGACCGAGAAGAAGGGTGAATGGACACAAAACTTGAATTCCGCTACATCAGCAAGAGAATAAATCAACCCATGCTTTTCAACTGTGCGTTCTTATTTTCAGCTTCGCTTGGAAGTAAGTGATCACGTACTCGGGTGATACTGACACCTCGTGACGTAATCTCACCGTCACGAGCTAGTGCTGCATTAGAAGTTTGATCGCGCAATTGCTTTGCCACACTTATCCCTAGCACAAAAAAACATGTCTTGCACATTCAGTTTGATCTGCTTTGCTTTTTATTCTTGCCTGCGAAACCGATGCAAATGTGCGTTTCTAGAAGCTAATTTTTAGTTTTTGATAGTCGCTTGTTAAAACTCATTTCGCTCACGAACTAAATTTGAAGGGAGTGAGAGAGAGAGAGACAGTGTGTGAACGCGATTTCCTTTCATAGTTCCTGACAAACGAATTCACGAATTTCTATCTTTCCACCACCACCACCACCACCAAATCAGCACAGCCCCACGACCCCGATCATGGAACCGGCTTATCGAGGTGATTTGAAAGTACGGCTCAAATTCAGTATGAGCCAAAATCATCGATTCATTTCACAACTAAATGCCGGTGCGACTAATTTCCCCGGCACACTGGAAGTGACCGTACAGGAGGCGAAAAATCTGATGTCCACTTCAACCGGACCGAATGTTTCCGCATTTGTGCGGGGGTACGTTTTTTCTCCTTCTGGACCTGGTATGATTGAGTTTTCCGGCGTTCAAGTCACCAAAATCCTGACAATTCTTGGTTAATTGCAATTGTTAGTTAGTTGCTTGTCCACATTGATCCAACTGAACGTGTTTAATCCGTAAGCTGTATCAATCTCGAAAGTACACGCGAGTGGTTGGGTTGTTTCACGGCTTGAACGGTCACGATGAANCACGATGAATAGCAACACGATCAAAAATTAGTTCTCTCCGATCTCTATTCTGATCGCCGTCCCAGATCAACTGGCAGTCGAGAAATCTCTAAATTCATTTTACTTTTTAAATCACGAAATATGCCCATTGATTAATAACACACAATATAGGTGAAAATGTGTTTCCGATGAATTCCGTTTCAAGCCTTTTGCAATCACATTTATATCAAATAATTTCAGAGGGGTCAAAAAGACGAATGAGCCATGTGTTTAGTCGTGAGACCGAGAGAACTCCAAGTTTGTATGCTGTTTGGATTAGGTAACCAACAGTCGCTATGTTACGTCATGTTCATATGGACAAGTGATTTGCTCTTCTATTGGCCAGGGGAGTTTGAGAACTTGGGTCCGTTTTTAGTTGTGCGCACAGCTCAGACTCCACGAGTGGAATGCTAATCGCCCCTGTGGTTGCTAACGTCCGAAACCGTATTACTCTCGAGGGGTGTGATGAGACTTCATGGATAATTGTAAATGCCGAGGGCATGTCAACCAAGTGTCCCGTCTCGACCAGATGAGCAACTGCCGATCTTGACACAGTTCCGCCCCCAACCTGTTTGAGCCAGCGTAGACTGAGTTCTTTAATCCGTATTGTTCGACCTACCACCCGTAGTGCATTGCGATCAATACCTTTTCAACTTCAAGTGAATCCAATCAACCGCACTCCATTGGAACCCCCACAAGATGATTGGTGTTTTGGTCGTCATATGTCCTCAATTCGATCGGGTGTGTCCGAATGAACTCACTTGAATGAGTCACCGAGTGAGGATGAATTTATCCGGCGTGATTCAATGACTTAGTCCATACCACAGATTCTGACTGCATCACGTGGACCGACATCGGTCATCGCACGTCACTTGTTTGAAAGCGGTCACATGGTAGACCCTGCGAACGCGTTCTCGGTTTTGTCACGTCATCGAGAAAAACACCGAGTAGGATTACTTGAGGTATTTTCGAGCGCTCACAACATCACACACACACACACACACAGAGTACACAATCACACAGAGACTGAGGGTTAAGCCTAATAAGTTTTCTTAATTCGCTTCATTTGTTTATCTTATCTTCAATGTTATACGTAAGCGACCGATGAGAGTATACGAAAGGAACTCCTCTCTTGCCCAGTGTTTGTCTTCTGACTTGCCCGGTCAAATTCATTACGGGATCCACATTTTTCAAATTCTACTGTATTGTATTGTGTATAAATTTTGCAAGCTTTGAAGCTTAAATTCCAGTTAAAAAAAGCTTTATTCACCAACCGTCACAGAGATCATATTCAAAGTAGAAAAGATGTTTACAGCCATGGAGATAGTTCGTAATCCAAAATTAAAACTTATGACCCTTTCCTTATTGATCAGTAAACGTGCAATATAGGGGTATAGGTGAATTTCTGTAAGTGTTGATACGAAATGAAATTTGGCGGAATTCAGAACGTGCGGAGGAATGGGAACGATAACGTGTCAGTTCTGCGTTCAACGGATGGCAAGGATTAGTGAGAATCCTCTCCGCAAATGCGGCATAGATACTCTGATACTCTGAAAGTTTCACAAATAACTCATGTATAGGGGTAGAATAAAAGTGGCCAGTAACAGTTAGACCGCTGCGTAAAACTTTGAAATCCTGCTCAATTAGCCGGGCAAGATAACCGGAGACTAGTGTTTAAGATGTGTAGGGTGTGATTCCAGGAACACGCTGAGATGGTCTGGGTTATATCATGTAAATAAAAATGAAAAAACCGAGTGGTCAGTTGCGTGGTGGTCAAGTGAGTAGTATGCTTGCATTCCGCCCATGAGGTCCCAAGTTCGATCCCCAGTGGGGACCCGGCTAGCTTGGCGAGTCCAGTGCCTATTAGCTTTTTATGTCACGTTCCACTCGCTTTCTACAAGACAAAAATTCACCACATGACTAAACCAAATCCTCCATTTATCCCGTTTATCGTATATTCAGAGAAAATAAAAGTACACGATGAATATTGTTAAGCAGAACACTATCATGTTTTAATTTCGTACTTTTGCAGTGAGATTCGTGCCGATCACCTCCACTTCGATCCACAACAGACAGACGTTGTTCCCAAGACGAGCCATCCGGCCTGGAATACGGTATTTCGATTCCCGGATCTCACACAGAATGATTTGCGCGTGATCGAATTACAACTTTCCTTATGGCACAGAACCGGATTGACAAAAGCTCCACAACTTTTGGGCGGTGTTCGCCTTAGTTACAAACCAGGTAGATAGGGGTTTGTGTGACATTGCCCCCCCCCCCAAAAAAAAAACAAATCTCTTTTTTTGAAAGCGCGCG